CATGTCTCAGATTAATTAGGACCTGCTTCTATTACACATTTCCAAAATACTCCTATATTTATAATCTCATGTTTAACTCTATCACAAACCTGTGAAGTAGGAAAGACAAATATTTGTGTTTCATTTAACATATTAGTAACTTAGGCAAATAGAGATTAAGCTAATGGCAGGGCCCAGATCTCTTGACTCTCATTCCTGGACTCCTACATTAAATTAAACCAGATTAGTCTTTTGGGATATGCGTGAAAGGGTACGCAATTGGATTCTTTGTGGAAAAAAGATAAATGAATAAGTTATTTAAATTACTATAGGAGTGGATAAAACGAGGTTCTATTTCCCTTGTTGAGAATTTGCCTTTGATTCCCTCTGTGAAATGGATTAGAATGTTTTGTTAGGATTTAAGAAATATACAAACCTAGAAAAGGTACATCTCATGTTCTTTTAAATGGATAATTTCTCCTGGGACTTCTTTACATTCTGAAAATTCACTTTATTATTGCATTCTAAGGTTTGTGGCTTTAAATGCCACAGCATCTGAGTCTAACTTGTATTGGTGATATTTGTGGTTATCACTTTCTGCTGTCATCCTCTCCCATTTCTTTTGTTTTCTTCCATAGATACGATTTGATTGATGAATGAGAGCATTTTGATTCTTCAAGATGTATTTTGGTGAATTGGTTCAATAACTTGTTATTGAAAAGCAAATCCATCGGGGACATATTTGCCTACTTCCCCTAAAAAGAAATCTCTCTCGTTGAGTCAACTGTTTATTCACCAGTCATGGCCCATTTCTGTATGTTATGAGGACATATCTACATTTTTTATCTGTTAAATATGGCCGTAGAAGTATTCAAGCTGAAGAGCCAGCTTCAAGACTACTTCTAAAGTTTAGAAATTAAACACGTGTCTTCATCCGTGACATAATAATAAGCACAATGTAATTTGGATTCTGGCTACACTTGCAAGGCCCTTGGTGCAGATGCAGAATAAGCCGGCGAGCCAGACTGAAAGACGCCTAAGAATGAGAAAGGAAAGTGAGTTTGCAGATGCCCTTTTACATCACAACTTTGATGATCTCTTACTTCGTAGAAGAGTCTTCTCCCTTTGTCACTCTGAGAGATCTTGGTGAAACTTTGGGGTCATATCCTGAACCTCCCTAAGGGCTACTTATGAGGTGTCATTCAAGCCAGCTGCCCCGCCTACTATTGCAGAGGCCAGAGTCTTTGGTTGCATGTAGTCTAACTTTGTGCTTTCCTATGAAGACTTTTAGTTCATTTGCATGAATGTTAAGGCTTACTGTCTCATGAGAGCTGGGAGTTGCAATGAAGAACTGCCTCATTCTCATCCACCTTCAACCACATGTTTATCATTGGGTACCTTTTTGTCATGTTGTGGCCATATCAGAAATAGAAGCTGTCCTGTTCCTTCTTGACACTAACATAGAACATTCATTGAAAAAACGGAAAAATTTTGCTTTCTGTCTGCTGTGTACATTATTCATACTCAATCATATTGAGTTGGACTCTTTCCTTCCATGTGGCAGACATACTCTTTATTTTTTTTCCTAGAAAATATAGCTTTCATGCAGCTGTTGTTTTTTCCACCAAGGCATTTGGCATCTCTTTTCCCACCCGACTTCATATCAAAAACAGCTGGAGAGCTTTGAAAAACACAGATCTTGAGTCAATAGGTCTGGGGTGATTCTGGAATCTGTCATCTATAAAGCCCCACTGGTGAATCTTATGCTCTGCTGGGTTCCAAAGTATGTGTGTCAGGAGTCCCCCAAGACCACCCATGGATTCACTGATTCTCTTAAAGGACTCATGGGACTCAGCATATAGTCCTATTCATAGCTGTAATATATTACAATCAACAAAGGGAGAAAGCACATAGGGCAAAGTCTGGGGGAAAGCAGGCACGAGCTTGCAGAGACCTCTCCCCCTATAGTCGCCCAGGGTATGCCCAATTCCTCTGACATGGAATTGTGGCAAATGTGTGGAATGTTCTCTACCAAGAAGCTCATTAGAGACTCAGTGTCCAAGATTTTTATTGGGGGCCGGTCGCATTGGCAATGTCTGTTTAGCACGATCCAAAATTCCAGACTCCCAGAAGGGAGGCAGGTGTTCATAAACCACATGGTTTATACAGTTTAGGCACACTGAGCCACTATTACCAATCAGGGAATAATGGGAACTCTCCCCAAATCCAAATCCCCACATGCCAGCTAAGGACCAACTTTGCAAACAGACCTTTTTAAAGATAACAGTCTCAGCTCTGTTATGTTAACCTTTTTCTACAGAGTACATTAGCCAAATTTCTGTATTGGGTAAGAGGAGAAACTTCCAGATGAAAATGGAGATTCAGGTGATGAAATATGAAATCCTACTCCTTGAGGGTTTTAAAAAAATCGTGCCATGGGAAGCAGGCCATAAATGCAGGGTATGGACCACCAGATTCTCCAAGTCCACTTGCCCTTGGCTCTAGTCTGGCTTAGAGAAAAAGAGATCACAGAGACATTGGATCAACATGCAGCTAGCTATTCACTCACTTTTTACGTTCTGCTCCCCTTTCTACTTTTCCAAAAGGGATTGTTTCTTTAATTCTTGGAAAGACACAATTATAAGTAATGAGACTGGATAATCAAAAAGCCTTTTTCATATCCAAGTCACCGAAAGCTGTGAGTCTCATGACCCCCCCAAATCCCCAGAAAGAAACTATAATTTTAGAACTCAGCCTCGTGGGCCACCAGGAATATTTGTGGGTCACCCGGGAATATTCTTAGGCATATGTTCTTTGTTAGCAACATGTAGTATGACACTTTAATTTTCTACAGCTAGAGGTGTCTCCCTGCATCTACAAACTCCCAAGATTACCTGGCGGAACAGAGTCATCTGCTTTCAGACCTGTTGATGGCAAAATCAAAAGAGAGAGAAGATTGTTTATTCTCATGGGAAACTTCCAGATGGAGACTAGAAGTTTATCTGAGCATTTCATTATTCAAGTGCATTTCATTATTTAACTTGCACATTTTCTTCCTTCTAGATGATTAGACTTTAAGTTCGTTTCTATTTACTTTTTATTCAGTTCACTTATTCAGGTGAATAGCAGAACGGCATGTACCTTGTACAAAGCCCCTTGTGAACCTAATAGTGACAGTCATTATGCAGCATTGCTTTTCAAGGTGCAAAAGCTCCTTCTTCTTGGACTTGTTTTTCATGATTTTAATCACTTCTGCCATTTTTCTTTGACTCTTCCCATTTCTCTACATCCTTTTTAAAGGGATGATGGCCAAAGTTGGACTCAACATTTTTCAACCCAAATATACAGCAGTCTGACATATTTCTAAATTCTCTACAAAAACTATTGAAAATTATATTGCATATTTTTAATTATTCAAAAAACATGAAACACTTGATCAAATGTTCTCTCCTTTAAAGTCATTGGTGTAACACATAAAGTACATTGACCATATATTGAGGTATAATTCCCTGTCTGTTATGACTCAATTTTAAAAATGTATATTAAGAAGCAAGGATCTTTGGCAATACATATATCATGGACTGATCAAAATTAACTATGGGTCAGCAGCTGAGAAGAATGCTCTGTATGTGTGAGAGTAATGTATAGCATTGAGGAAGGACCACATCTCGATCCTGGTTGCCTAACTCTCCTTAACTACAGTTTGTCCCTAAATGTTCCTGGCACTGAAAGCCCCTACTACACTTTTTCTCCTAATGGTACCCCACTGTGTTCCCTAATTGTTTTCAGCCTGTGGTCTATTGTAATCTCTAGATCTTTTCTGCTATGCTCATTTCTCCATTTCTCCTTGTCCTTCCCTGGAAATTAACCCTCTGTCATTTGTTACTGAATATCATTATATATATATATATATACACATACATATAGTTTCATATATTGAGAATATTGATATTCCCAACATCAAGGTAATTAAAAATCATATTTCCATGACTTGGAATATTCTCAACCTTACATAGTTTCATGTCTTTGGAAATTTGATGAGGTTAGTCTTTGTACTTTCACCCGAGAAATATTTTGAATGAAGTGAGTTCTGAGACCGATCTCGGTAGGTAGGATACATGGATCAGATCTAAAATTTTAGGAGTTTTTACTGAGAACTCCGATGTTGTAGCCTACATAAATGTCAGAGTGATACAAAATACAAGAAATTTCCCCCAAAGTATATTCTCAAACTTTAAAAATATCATTCAACAAAAACAAAAGTGAATTCGAAAACAATGAAGAAGGCTTAGAAGGGAATCTGTGACATTTTCTGAGCATCGGATCTTTCAGTAGCAGCGGGCCCAGCTGTTTAACTGCAAGGCAAGTGTTGTGGTGCAGTGATCTCAAAGAAAGACATTGACTATGCCTCCAGTGTGTATCTTCTTTGGCGGGAAATAGTAGGGGAGTGTGTACGTGTGTGTATGTGTGTGTGAATGTGTATGTGTACTGTCTCCAGTGGGGGGAAACACAGAGTTGTTAGACTGTGAGCCCACTGAGTTTGCGCTATGATGCATACCTTTTCCAAACGGGATCTTACACTGTTCATTCTACAGATGACCACTTGATTTGGTGGATACCTAGTATGGTATGTTTATTTCACAGTTTCACACATTTACGGCTTTTTAAAAAATATGTAATGCTTGAACTGGTTTCAGAGCAGATATTTCCTTTTAAACCTTTTTTTTTTTTTAAATCACAAATATAATTGAACCATACAACCACATTCCACCTCTTTTAATTCCCTCATTCCCATTAGAAACATTTTGTTAAAAGCTCAAGGGCTTCTACCCATACACATTGAATTGTGAGAGTTATCAAAAAGAGAAAAAGAATGAGAGCTTATGGTACAGGGGGTTATAGAAAGGAGAAGCCATGGTTTATTTCTGAAAGAAAGATAAATGCATACATTTATTAGAAAAGGAAGCTAAAGAATTAAAGATGGCAAGATTCTTTTAATGAAGATTGGGGCTGAACTGAAGCCTTTATCATGACACACTGGCAAATCTCCACTTAAAAATGCTGTCGGCTGAGCTTGACCAAGGAGCAAGGATGCACATAATGTGCTTCTTGTGTTAAGGTGAGAATGGCTGGACTTGGAAAAGATAGCTCATCTGCAGCCTGCACGTAGGTTCTGGAACAAGTTCCGCTGTTACTCAGGAAGTTCAGGACTCAGAGCCAACATTCTCCTACTCATGCAGGATAAGCTACTCCAAGTAATCCAGCTAGAAGGATCGGGGTTCCGAGCAAAGCCAAGCTTACTTGTTCTAAGCCACTTGTTTCTGGGTAATGAAGTTCATGATCTAATAAGCATCAGTCCTGGTCACTAGAGCATAGGAATAAGAGCTCCTCTTGGAAAGATGCAGGAGATCTGCTGCTGGGAAAGTGGTGCTCAGTGTCAGAGAAGCAGATAGAAATGGACTCGGTTCTGCAAGTATTGATGGCAATAGTTCAAAGTAAGACTCCTTAGAATTAGTTTTTTAAAAAATCTTCCATTTCCATCCCTGATGTGGGGAAAGGGCTTTCGCATTGTTGAGGACTGGTGTACGTATAATAGTAAAATGATAAGACATATCAAATGGGGGAATAAAGCCCCAGAGCCCTTTCAGTTTGGATTCAGGGAAATGCATTATAACTTAGAAACAAATTTATGTTTGAGAGTGTTGATCCATTAATGTTTTGTTCATTTACATTTGATTTTTCAGTGGTGGAACTTATTGGAATTTGGGGACAATTCTGCTGTGGTATTAAATACTGTATTAAAAACTCATCTTAGTATTGAGTTAGTGCAGTGACTTCCAGTGAATTGACTTGGGCCCACATTTCATTTTAATCAAAAACAAAAACTAGAAAATGTTACTCCTTAAATAGGTAACAATGCATTTTACAAGCACTGTAGAGATTTAGTAAATAGCATGTATGATTAATTTAGAAACAACCACTGACACTTGAGGGTTACTCAATACATATAATAACTTCCTTTTCATTTTTTATATGAGGTAAATGCAGACCAGGGAGCCACTGAGCAAATAGTCAAGTCTGGGTAGGTTTATAATCTTAGGGTCCATGGGGATGTCTTTGGTAAAGATAAAAAGGGAATGAGTTGATGTTTCTATTACAAGACTCTGTAATGCTAGGACTTCTACACAGCTTAAATAATGGTTGGGGGAATATTCTTTGAGGAGAAATGCTCAAATGTTATTTTAGTCACTTGTAGTACTATTGGGTTTGCGCACACAGTTGGCTTAGAATACCATTTACATCTTTTCCTTGTTCTGTTGAAGAACCATGCCATGCAAACAATTCAACGTACTCTCAAAAGTACATGTAGTACGCCCAGTAAAATACATTAGCTAGCATAAAAATCAAAGGAAATAGTAATTTGGAATATCGATCAACATTACTAGGGTTTTGAATTGTGAAATAATCAACAATCCTGCCCATCTTATCTCGGAAGACAAACTTGAACTTGTCACTGGTTTTCATTGTCAAGTCGTTATAGTCGACATTATCCCTGGAAATTTCAATGCTGGCAAAGCTGATCTTCCGTTTAAAGCTGGAGATGGAACTGTTGATGATGTTAGTAATATTGACTTCTTCCACTTCCTTTGCCATCCCCTAGATCATAGACAATGCAGTTAGCTTGAAAGACTTGACTTAGCAAAATAAATAGCTAGATATTTAAATACTTAGAAGCCTAAGTATTGAATAATTAGGTTTAATAGAAAGTGGCATTGAATGTCTCAGATATAGGCCAGTGAGCCAGACTTGGAAGTCCTGTTATCCTGCCTATAGGCACCCATCCCTAGGTCATCAGCTTGTATACTGTGAAGAATAACCATTGCCTACTACTGATACGCAGAGCTATGCTCAGGCTTTGAAGTTAGCTGGTCTGGGTTCGAATTCCATTCTGCCTCTTGCTGTTGTGAAATCTTAGTCACCTTAATTCCTTTAAAACTCGGATTTCTTGCCTGCAAAATGGTGATGATATTAATACCTACCTCATGAGAAGGATGGGAAGATTAAACGGTATACATTGTGTAAAGCATTTAGCAGGTGTTTGATGAATTCCATTCTGTCCTAGTGAGGAGGAATTAATTGATTGTGAGAGATCCTAGAAATCGGCAGTGTCTAAAAGTCTCTGCCACACAAACAGAAATAGTGATGCTCCCTACAATTCCGGGGAGCTGTCATTTTCCAACATGCCTGGAATGACATAGTATGTGAGGAGTGTAGTGAAGTTGGAAAGAGCGGAGTTTGGATCCTTGGCCAGGCTACTTACTAGCTGTGAGGTCTTAGATGAACCATCTCACTTCTCTGAGTGGCAGAGTCCTCAGTAGTAAATTTGGAATAACAGCGGTAGCCATCTGATAAGCTGCTGGGTGGGCTAAAGGAGATGTTTAGCACACAGCAAGTACTCTGTAGTGAAGCTATTATTCTACACACAGCAAAAGAAGGGCTTTCTGGTGACTTAGGTGAAGGATTTTAGTAGTTCTCCAATTCCTTTTTGCCAATCTACCAAATCCAGATCTTTCTTTCTTTCTTTCTTTCTTTTTGGTAATTAACCATTGTCCCCTTAAGGAAGCCTATAGGGAATAAAATGAAATCCATATTCTTCTTCGGCTAGCACATAGGATCATTTGTCTTTGGCATTGGGTAATATGACTCTATGAAACATTGTTCACACACGGGAACAAGGCCACCGGAGCTATTCTGCTTCTTGCTGTTGTGAAATCTTAGTCACCTTAATTCCTTTAAAACTCGGTTTCCTTGCCTGCAAAATGGTGATGATATTAATACCTACCTCATAAGAAGGTAGGTATTAATGGTATTCCTCACCATTAGACCCTGTGTGGTCCTGGCACTTTGCTAAAGGTGGATATCTCTTCTGTGCTGACCCCTATCACTTTCTTGCTTGTTAACATGAGCTTCAGTATACCAGTGTTTATCAAATTGGGCTTCCAGAGACTCCCAGGGTTCCATGGGCCTGTAGTGAACAATAGTTAAGAGCATGGCTATTGCCCACTGCAAGTGAGAATAACAGGTAAGTGTCAGGCTTTGGAGCTAAGCAGATTTAGGTTCAGATCTTAGCTCTACCTCTTTATCTACATCCCATGGGATAAGTCACTTACCCTTCTTGTACCTCAGATTCCACAATTATAAAAATGGGGATAGCCTTACTGCGTTGTTATGAGTATTTTTTTTTAAGATTTTATTTATTTATTTGAGAGCGAGAATGAGAGAGAGAGAGAGAGAGCATGAGAGGGGGAGGGCCAGAGGGAGAAGCAGACTCCCTGCCGAGCAGGGAGCCCGATGCGGGACTCGATCCCGGGACTCCGGGATCATGACCTGAGCCGAAGGCAGTCGCTTAACCAACTGAGCCACCCAAGCGCCCCAATGAGTATTTTAAATGATGTTTGCAAAGGGCTTGTGACTAAGTTGGAGCATGTAAATATTCAATTGATAATAACGGTTGTTATTCTGAGAGCTGGACCCAGTGTTTCGCTGCTAACTCAGATAATGGCAGTCTTTCCCAGTTAGCAGAAAAATACGCTAATTGAGAAATTTGCTGCAATTTAATTTTTCCCACACATTTTCCAGCAAACGACAAAAGAATTAAATAGTAAATACATATTAATCTGAAACTTGTAAGAGCTGATCACACTTGGTTTGATATTGGGTTTTTCATGGATGCTTGTTCTTGTGGTTGTGATTTCATGTTGCATAGAGGCAACAGTTATTTTCTGCTAGCAGATTAAACATGTTAATATCCCATTGGACTTGACGAAAAGAGCAGTCTTTTTCAAAAGGTGCCATGACTTCCAGATGCCCCCACCTGAACAAGGATGAGAATCGCTGGAGCAAAGTGAATCACTCGGGGACGGGAACCAATCTGGTTCATCTCTACAGATCAGCACATGGCAAGTGATGAATCATATACAGGGCCCTCAAAATTCTTACCCTATCTTTGGCTGCCATCTGCTGTAAGGAGCTGTAGTGGGCAACTGCGTATTCCAACAGGGCCCCAAACACGAAGCTAAAGCAGATCCCCAGGTACACATCGATGGCCTTTATGAAACAGTTGGTATTGGGAAGAGAAGTGCGGGACCCAATCATCAGTGTTGTCATTGACAATACGGTGGTCACTCCTGGGAAAACAGGTAGGCAATGTTCCCACATCAGTGACCAGTGAAACTTTCACCTTTACCTGGCAGACTGTCACCATTCAGGAGTTGGCAAAGGGGGACAGAACTCAGAAATGGAACAGCTCATTTTTGAAAAATCTGTGATCTTCTAGAACAGGATTGATTTGTCCATTTTGAATGGATATGAGTGATACGGTTTTCTAAATGTTTCACCTTCTGTCTTCCCATTGGAGGGGAGTGTTCAGTATGCAAAATAACTGGTAATAGACCATCCAATCATGATTCTCTCTTATCACTGTAAAACATGCTTTAAAAGGCACTGTCTCTCTCTTTCTCTCTGTAAAGGTCTCTCAAGACACCAACTCCTGGAACTGCCCTATGAATATCAGTGGAAAAAAAAAAAAAACTGGTAGAAGGTAAAAAGAAACAAAAAGGGACCTGTAACTCCAGTTCTTAGAAATCTCCTGTTGGAGCTGCTTACCAATGCAGGTTCTTGCAGGAACTGAATCGAGGGAAATCCAAAATGAAACCCAAGATAGCACCACCAGAAAAGTGGAAGGAACATAGGTTTCCAAAATGAAATACAGGACATTCCTCCGAAGCTCAAATTGCAAGACCAGTCGTGTATAATTTCCTGGTAGGGTAAAGAAGAGATAGGAAATCATGTCTCCTCGCACAGCAGAGTGCTTTCCCTATGGGACATTTAATTAGCTATATTCACATTAAGTTATCTGTTATTCACCAAAACCTAGTTAAGCATGAGCTGTCATTATAGTTGCAATGAGAGAAATTGCTGTTGTATAGAATGAGATGTAGAGGGGTGCATGTACCCCCACCCATGATCCTGAGCATGAAGCGGGTAACAGTGCCAGGCCCAAATCCTCCTGCCCTAGCACACTGTGGCGGGGTTCTTGGGCCCCAAAGAGATAAAGTGGAAAAGAGATGGTATTTCTGACTCAGAATGCAACCCAGTTATTTTGCTTTGTGCAATGCGTCTCACAAGTCACCTGTTTCCTGTTGCGACCTGGTGACTAAGGTGAAATACCGTTGTATGGTGTACTGAGCAAGCCGCAGGTTTTCCAGCCCGCGTACAGAGTCATTCCCTCTCAGCCAGCTGAACTCCACGTCGTTTCCATCATAGCCCCCTGGCAAGGAAAACAGTGCCCTGGTCAGTGCAAGAAGGTAGCGGATTGAACTGGCCTGGAGAATACTACCATGTGGGGGCAGCAGGAGCTCTGTCTTGATGGTGATCCCATGCAAAACTTGGCATATTTCTCACGTGCCATTGCAGTGTCTCCTCGGAACAGGACGACCTGCTAGGGCTGTTTGCTATCAGTCGAAAACCGGTTCTGTGCTAAGTATCACATAGACTTGGTAGGTGATAGGCCTCCAGAAGTAGCTGCCCTCATTATTTAAATGATATTTATTGAACTCATATCTGTGAACACACACAGCCCTACACTCCATAGTGCCTTTCAGGGCAGTCCAGCATCTCTGGCAGTGTTCTTAGCGACTTTACAGTTGGTCTGTTCATATTTCCATGATGGCTTAAATGCAAACACAACGGCGGAAAACAAGAAACCTGCAGCCAGCCCCTATATTGATGTCTGTTAACTTAGGCATCTGATAAATCTCAAAGCAGTTTTACTAATATAGTTCATAATAGTAATAATAGCTACCTGTTATGAAACATTTATGGTAGGCCTTTTATACATTACATCTCTAATGTTCTCACAAACGTGCAAGGTAGACATTTCTATATTTCTTCACTAAAAAAATTTTTCTTCACAGTTTTTGAAATTGGGATGGATCTTAGAGTTGATACACACATACATACATATATACATATATATGAAGTAGAGCTTACATTTTTTCCTAAAATGTTACTCGATAAATGCTGTGCCTTAGAATCGAGGAACTATAATATTTGCCCATTTTATACAGGAAAATTCTCAGATTCAGAGAGATTGCATAACTTTCTCAGGATAGCAAGGTAAGTTAAAAACAAAGCCAGGATTGTACCTTCGGAAAGTCTAAACCCAAAGCCCATGGGTGATGGTGGTGATGATAATATAGCTATCATTCAGTGAGCAATTACATTTCTAAGTGCTTTATAACATTATCATCTCATTTAATCCTCAGAATATCTCTTTGAGAAGATAGATGAGTGATCAATAAGCACATGAAAAGATGCCTGACCATTAACCATTAGGGATAAGCAGATCAAAATCACAGTAAGATACTACTTCACACCCGTAAGAATGGCTGTCATGAAAAGACAGACAATAACCAATGATGAGAATGTGGAGAAGCTGGAACATTGCCAGGGGGGATGTAAAATGGTACAACTACTTTGGAAAACAGGTTGGCAGTTTCTTGAAAACTTGAATACAAATTGACCATTTGATCCACCATTCCACTCCCAGGTATCTGCCTAAGAGAAATCAAATCACGTTCACAAAAAACTTGTACACAAATGTTCACAGTGGCATTATTCTTAATGACTACAGGGTGGAAACAAGCCAAAGGGATGTGTATTCTTTCATATGGAATAATGAGGAATAAGGCAATAAAAAGAAACAAAGCATTGATACAGGCTCCAACGTGTATGAGCCTCAAAAACACGCTAAGTGAAGGGAGCCAGATGCAAAAGACCACATGTTGTATTGATTCCTTTTATATGAAATATCCAGAAAAAGCAAATGCATAGAGACAGAAAGTAGATTAATGGTTGCCTGGGGGCTGGTGGTGGCAACAGGAGACACTGTAAATGGGCACAAGGGATCTTTTTGGTTGATGGAAAAGTTCTACCCATGAAATGTGGCTATGGTTGCTCTACTTGGCAAATTTACGAAAAATATTTGAATCGTACACTTGAAAGGGCTGAATTTTATGGCACATACATTTTACCTCAATAAAGCTGTTAAAAAAAATAACTCTTTGAGTCAGATACTATTATTTTTCCTTCTTGACTGATGAGGAAAGTGGGGTCTGGAGAGGTTAGTTCTAGTCTCCCAAAGCCACCAAAGCTAGTGACAGGGAAACCCACTGATCCCTGAACCTGTGATCTTAAACATGGAACTGTATTGCCTTCATTCTCCCAGGCTACTGGGAGATGGGACCCAGCGTCAAGTCTTAGCTTATGGTACACACTGTTTAGCAGAGGTTATTTTCCCTCCACTGGGCAGAGAAGTAGTCATGAGCTCTTAGAGGCTTTCCAGGTAAAAATTGCCTATGGGCTTTCTCTCAGAAGTACCCCAAAATATACTGTCCAAGTTAGCTGTCCAAATAGGCCTAGGATCCCCAAGAAATAAAAAAAGAATATCTAAATAAGTGAGTTGTACAAGCTTCTACTTGGACACTTTACTTTTAGAACTGTTAAATGCTCGCAATCATTACATTATCATGGCTCTTGTGGGATGCTAGGAAATCTTTCCTAGGGATGGTGTTCAGGAAAAAAAAAAACCCTTGGTGAAGTTTCTGTACCCAAATAACTGCTAATAAACACTCAGTGAAAACTTCCTCTGCTCACTGGGGATGGTATTCGTGCAAGCCGAGTGCTGAAGTTTCCAGGAGAATCTCACTCCCGGGATTTGAGATGAGCAGAGCCACACGTGGAGGGCTATTACTTTTTCCATGTGGGGCTGAAAATGAGTTCTCTTTTTGATAACCTCAAGTTTTATTCTGCCCCCAAATAGCTGTATTGCTTTAACGAGGTTTTGCATGCATTTAATCAATAGAGTAATTAATCTGCCTGTCCGAGTCTTTAATTAAATGTCTACCTCTGAAAAATGACTGCCGCCTCATAATGGTTGTGCTTCTTGGACATTGACCACTCGTGTCCTCATGTCAGTAGTTGATCTCTAGGGCTTGACTGTGGTTTTTCCTCCTCGTACAAACCATCCCTTGATGCCTTAGTGACTCCTATCTGAGGCATCGTTTCCCCAGGACACCTGTCACAGGTAGCACTTTCCCAAGTTTGGTGGGCATTTCAGAACAATGGAGATTACTCAACAATGCCATTTGACACACATCAACTTAGAATAAAATGCTCATTCCTCATCATAAATCCTCAGACTGCAGTTTAGATGCCCACTCCTGGCATCATTGTGTTAAGCTATATATATACACCAAACAACTTCTTTTCAAAGTTGGAAGCAGTTGTGCAATAAATGTCAATGATTGCATTGAATATTTACCATTTTTGACCTCTGCTGTGTTCCTTCTGGCTTCCATGCCTTCTCAGACTCTGAGTCCCACTCCTTGTCCTATAGACCCCCATTTCCTTGGCTGTCCTGTCTACTCTTAGGTAGAATATTTAGTGCCAATGCACAGTGGTCCTCTCCCAAAAGATGTAATGTTGGAAGGGTTGTCTTTAAGAGGTCTCCAAATCTCTCTGGATAAACACTCAGAAGGGCTGAATCAATTGGAATCAACACCAAGGAAAGAAAGGCTGCTATGTCTTTCTTCATGAATACACCGATCTAAGTCAAGTCACCCAGGAAAATCATCTCAGGGGCCTGCAGAATATATACTCACAGCTTTCCAGTTGCAACTTGCATGTCTGTGTGTCCATGGGGTATTTCGACAGGTCCATGTTACATGCAACAGTCGTTGTGATTCTAAGAAAGGAAAAATGGGTTCAAAAGGAGTGATATGGGGGAAAGGATACATTCCCTTTTAAGGGCCACTCCAACAGGACTTTCACCTTGACTCTTACAGTGAATGTGTGACTTGGAGCCTACACTCAAAACATTCCTGAGGTTTTCTGTGCTAAGAAACACCTTTGAGATGTGGTCAAAGCTGGGGTCCAGAATGGAGGAAGCTGGAATGTGGGCAATGAAGAGGCAAACTTGCAACAACATTGCAGAAGAAAATCACTCATTGGCTTGAGATGCTCTTGCATCAGTTTTAAAATTTAATCTCCATGACAAACCCACAAGGAGCTAGAACAGAGAGCACTGTCACTTCTGTCCTCATTTGACAACAGACTCAGGAGCTTGCCTCAGCTCACACAGCTCTTAGTGGCAGAGCTGGGGCTGGAGCCCACGTCTCCTGGCTGGGCAGTTCTCAAGGACCCTGTCTCCTGGAGGGGATCAGCATTCTCGGAGGAAGTAGAGGATGTTGGGGGGCACTGTGGCTTTTGGGGACCAACACCCAGAGACATTCACTTAAACATCAGTAAAGCCCTCACTGTGGAGATTTTTATTGGCCGAACTTTATCTTCCTTTTTTTTCAGTGTCACATATTTTTATTAAGCACCCTTATTTATTAAGCACTGTGCTGGGTTCTTGGGGAAAGTGAAATGATGCATGCATGGTGCCCACCTTGAGGAAGCTCACATTTGTTTCAGGAAGACAGAGAATGACAACAGCTACTATTTACTGAGTGCTTACCCCAAGCCAGTCCCAGGCCGAAGTGCATCTCATGCATCATCCCTTTGAATTTTTACAACAACTTTATGAGGTAGGAAATATTATTCTCCTTTTGCTGCTGAGGAAACTGAGGTTCAGAGAGTGCAGCAACTTCCATAAGGTCACAGAACAGGGACTTGCCCCTAAATGTGTCTGATTCTAGAGCCAGGCTGTTAACAGTCATCATCCATAATCCTTGCACAGGACAGATTGTATTATGTGCATAATACAGACAGAAGACAGACATATACATGCACAGGAAGGGGGACATTAATGTTGATTGGAGTTGGGGGTCAAGGGAGAGGTCTAGTTTGGCTTCTTGAAGGAAGGGTTGGGGCTTTGGCTGGTTTTTGCAAAATTCAGTGTAGCTGAGGAATGCCAGATGAACAATTCAAAAATTCAGTTTATTGGATAGCTCAGTCTTTGTTGCATAATGTCAGCCTCCTACTTGGGATCTAAGATAAGTCCCATGAGTATTTGGTTCCTGGCTTTCTCCCCAAGGACTGTGGGAGCATAAGGTTTGCTTGGTCCTTGCACATCCCTTGTACAGGCAGCGATGAGCTTTTGCCTGTGGGCTGCTTCCTACAGCATCTAGGGAGCACCTTGCCTATTCTAGGCAACCAGCCCTTTGATGCACAACTGGGTGGAAGGAACTTTTGGCCTCAGGGATTTGGGAAAGGGACAAAGGGGAGCCCATGGCTCCAGATGGCAGAGGCCTTGGGGGGCACTGCACTTGGCTTCTCTGTAGAAAAATGCCTCAGACAAATAGAGATGCATTCTGGGACAACCCTACCGCCACTGAGCCCCATGAAAAGAAAATTCCTGATGTGGACCTACCTCTCTGTCACTCTTGCTATTCCCCTTATTCCCTTGCTAGCTTTTTTTTTTTTCTTTTTTAACTCTTTAAGACTCAGCTCAGAGTTCTATGAAAGCTTCCTCTAGCATCACCACAAACCGCTAACTTACTCCCCAACTCAGAGCCCCCCGGGATTCTGGACTTTCTTTGCTTACCAACTGCATCAGGACAATGTCTCATTCGGCTCTGTATTCTAAGTGTCCATTGTGGGGCCTGGCACAGAGCAGACATTCAGTAGCTGCTTGTTGAGCCAAACTGAACCGAAGGAGGGCCCTTCTACTACTGGGACAAGAATCTAGGAAGGCAGGAGCATGAGAAGGGCGGGACCTCAGGGCGCTTATTTGAGTGCTGGTCAGAACTACCCAGGATGTATTTTATGCCTTTCCTTCCAGCCATTTCCCCATTCAGCCCTGAGGTGGTAGGGACCCAATCACCTGAGAGCATACAGGACTGTGCCATTGGAGAAGAGGCGGATGAGCCTGTTTCCCACAGTGACTTCGTGGAGGAAGGACTTCTTGGATTCCACAATGTAAGTGTCTGGCACCCATAGGAACTCCACGAGGCGCGCATCCAGAGTGAAGCTCTTGTTGCCTTCAAAAACCAGCCGCTGGTCCGTCCAGCGCTGTCTGAGGTATATGGTGGCTGTGTAGTCCTGAGGGGGAAGCCAGGTAGTGGAAATGGATGGAAGGGGGAGCGGGGGGCGGGGGAGAAAGAGTTTGAAAATGGAAGGAAAGGGGTGAAGTCTTATTCCCCTTCCCACCTCTACTTAGGTCAAGAGTACAAACTATAATAGACATTGGTGAACAAAGTCTTATTCTTGGGTGAGGGGCCTGTAGCAATAAGAGCACACAGCACCTTATTTATTCTAGACAATAACTCTCACTGCCAAAAGGGAGCCCCACAGGAGCATGTTCAGGGCCTTAACTTACTTGTCCTCTGTCCCAAAGGCCCCACCGAGTTGTCGAAGGTTTTGGTGAGAGCCGAGTGCTTAGGTTGTCCAGCATTTACCCGGAATGCACAGCCGGCCCTCTTGGCAACCTGCCTTTAATGTCACTTCATCTTTAATGAGTTCTCTTAAGTGAGAGGATGGTGGAAAGCAGCTATGTGATTGTCAGTTTTCATCAGCTTAGCTTCTCTTCTGCTCTGGGAGGATCCACGTGATGTTCAGGCTTCCCCACTGCACTTTCTTTCTCCCCCAGGTTTTTATCCTCACCAAATGCACCCGCTCCACTCCCTCATCTTTTCTCTCCTGGCTCTTGAATCCACTTTCCTCCTGATACTCAGAAGATCTGTTTTACAAGAATCTTCCACTGCCTTGAGTTTTGGGATAGGTCTCCAGCTTCTGCCATTCCAAGTGCATGCGGGCTGTGGGTCTCTGTTCTGTTTTTGAGTAGCTAGAAAGTGCATCCCCATAAAACACAAGAAGGACATCTCAGGTGGAAGATGAAGGGGCCACACTTACCATGTTACTCTCTGAAATACTAGAAATACTTGCAATGTCCAGAGTCAGTGCTATCAGAACTGGTTCTCCTAAGAATGAAGAAAACACCAGAAGGACTTATATAGAAACACAACCACACTACATTAGCACAATGTTTTAAAAATTAGAAAACACAAAAGTAACACTGGCCTATTGGAAAATTTTAGCCACTCTAGAAGTACATAAAGCGAAAGGTAAATTTCTATCCTCCCCTTGTCAGGAGGAACCACTGTGTAGAATGAAAAAAAAGTATGAAAAATTTTTGTATAAAAAATGCACAAATATATAAATAGCTTAATATGTAAGAGAGACCACGCTGTGTTCACGAGTGCATATTTTAAAGGATATAGTGGTATTTGTTACTTCTTACTTGGAGGATTTTTCCATTGGTACTTGCAAGAGACAAATTATTTAGAGATGTAGTATGAGATTTGGAAATTTGTGCACAGAGATCTTTTTTTCCTCCCCTCAACTAAGTAAATTTACCACAAGATGGCATTCAAGAGTGCTCATGGTTGAGCTCTTGCTCACCTCCTGACACTTTCCTCCTCTTCCTTTACTCTCCAGAAAGCCTAAACTATTTAGAATTCCAGAACCTTCCCCCTGTGATCTGGTATACAGATATTGGGCCCAGGCCAAACTCCTGAGAGTGCCGGTCTTAGCTCTTGAGACAGAGGTCTTGGAGCCCATTCTCAGAAGCCAGGCCAAGGCAGTCTGCTTCTCCTCAGACTGGAGATGTGAAAGAAAAGCCCAGGGGTGAGAAACATGTGAGTTCACAGCTGGGAAAAGTTACTGAATCTTTCAGAACTACCTTTTTTCTCACCTGTGAGTAGAGATAATACTAACAACATCATAGTGTCATGGAGAGGGTAAATGAGATTAGCAAGTGGCAGCTTCTTTGCAGGGTGGTGGCAGGAGGAAATACGTGTAAAGAAGGTGCTCAAAAATAATTATATGTACCAAGTCCCAGGACTGTGTCTGTCACGTAATAATAGAGATTCAGTAAATGGCATTTGCCTTCCCTTCCCCATCACCTCCGTAATCCTAGCTAAATCTGGAAAAGGAACAAATTTACTCACCAGGTTAATAGCTGCAATAGCTTTCACTTGCAATAAATAAGTAGGGGTGCCTCAGGGGACTGTGACAATGCATTAACCAGGAAGAGGAGAGGTGGAATTCAAAGGAAGCTTAAAACCATCTACTTGGTAGGAATCGGACAAAGCAACCTAATTATTAACTGAAGGAAACCAAGCCATAGAATATAGGTGGGAATTTGGAAATGGAGCTTTAGAACTAATGCAATTAAAAATAGTTCAGCTAATACTTGGTGTTAATATCTGATGGAAGAATGGGAGATCTTTGAGGACGGACCCTGGAAGGTGCTGAAGGAGCATGGTGGTAAGTGGCTTTCTGCCTCTCAAGGCAGAAATTAAGAAAAGGAGCTTGGAGTCAGAGTGTTTGAATCCCATGTCCACCACTTCGTAGCTGTGTGACCTTAAGCAAATTGCTAAAGTTTTCTGTGCTACAGTTTCTCACCTGCGAAAGAGAGCTACTCATGCCTACTCTTGAGGATTGGGTTGGGAAGGTTACAGGATCTCTTTTTAAATGTCTGGAGCACGGTGGGCAGTGGCTCAGTGTTATTTGCTCCCTGAGGAACATGGAGAACAGAACACACACAAAAGTTCCACTCCACTGTGCTTTCTGTTTCCTTTGTTTCCAGCTAGTCCAGTCCTGGCCTTGCTTCAGTTGGCTTCTTTATGGACCAGAGCTTGCTTTCTTCCCCTTGAGTTAGAAGAGTGAGCTGAGCCACCAGAGGGCAGCTTCCTCCTGGGAAAGAGGTCAACACTAGTTCCTGGACAGTGTTCCTAGAGCCTGCTTACAAACCTGTGCTCTGGCTACCTCATTCCCTGAAAAACCTTATGGAGGTCTTGTCTCTTAAGAACTTCAGGGACCTAGAACCCAGGTGGACAGACATTATAGAGAACATGGCCCCTCCACGGAACTCCAGGCTGCCACATACATGTAGCTTCCTTTAGGAGACAGATTGCCAAGGTATTGGGGCCTGTGCCTTCCCCTCTTTTTGACAAAGCACCCCTTGCCCCCTTTTCAGCCCAGGTGGATCTGGGCCTCACACTCCTTGGGTCCACCCCAGGTTCGGAATGGGCACTTTGCCCAAGAACCTTGCCTCTTGTCAACCCGTGAGCAGGCAACAAGAAGGACAGTATCCTGGCCTAATTGTTTGGGGTTTGGGAGGCAGAGAAATTGGACCTAACCAGGGTGTACAGACTCATATGCTTGTCATTAGTGTTCAGCTGGGCCTGGGAAGACCAGGGGAGCTTGAAGCCTTCCTAGGTTTGTTAACTTAAGGACCTCAAATCTTTATTGTGTGGCCATGAAAATGGTCTTGCTGATCTCCAACTGAAGTGGGTGTAATTGGCCCAGCTGCTGTGCTCTGAAATCCTTTACCACACTTGCTCTGAGGCCATGCTTCCCACAGGCTGCACCCCACCAATGACTGAGTGTGGCGGGGATACTTAGGCACACTGTGCCTGGAAAGCACGGAGATGGGAGACTCCTCTGATGGGAACTTGGGCTCAAGGTCTCCCTGAGGGCCTTTCCAAACACACATAGAACTGCACCATAGTCGAAGACACCTGTGCCCAACCTTCCCGTCCTCCCTCTCTCCTTCCCCCATGGTCAGCTTTCCTATCTTCCCACCCCCACGTTCTGTCATAGATATTGCCCCAATAAATATCTTGCATGGATAATCACCTTCTGGTGTCTGCTCCTCAGAGGACCTGGACTAACCCACTAATACTAGATTTGACCAGAGAATTTTATCATGTGAGGGGAGGAGCAGGAAGGAAGGAAAGGGGATTAAAATAGACCCATGCACCCTGATGATGTGGCAGGTGCCATGCTTCATGTTCACACAGTTCATCTCAATCAGTCCCCTCTATAAGGTGGAAGATATATCTCCATTTCACAGAAAGGGGGCTTAGAAAGCTAAGGTGCTTGGCAAGAAGTAGAGATACCACTTTCTGCTCTATGTAAGGAAACGCTAGAATCCACTTTGGTCAATCTTACATTTGAGACTGAGACCCTATGAGGAGGTATGGGATTGGTCTCAATCACTCCCTCCTTGCCTCATTCTGTCACCAAATACCAATTGACAGCTTGTTGTATGCCAAGTGCTGAGCTGCTGCTGGGGTTAGTGAGGTAAATAAAGCAAGACTCCCTCACGGGGCTACAGGCTAAAGCTGAGACGGCAATGATGGTATTGTCTTGTAATGGCTATGATTTGGAAGTGTAAGTATGAAGAATGGGGACGGGGCCTACAACAAATCAGGGCTGACTTCTCAGAGGAGGAAGCCTTTGATTTCAGACTTGAAAAATTGGCATTTTGCCAGGGAGTCAAGTTGAAGGAAGCCACTCTCAGCAGATAAACTGTCTCAGCAAAGGCATGGAGACCAGGGAAGCCAAGGGGGTCAGGGAGTGTTTGGGGCACACTCCTGGCAGGGCAGAGTGGGAGGAGTTGGGGCTGGCAAGACTGGCAGACAGACAGAGGCTGGGCTGGGAAGGCCTGGGGTGCCAAGGGGCTCTGGACTCTATGCTGAGGATGCTGGGACATAGGCAGGTATTCTGAGCAGGCAAAGGGCCCAGGCAGGTCATCCAGGTGGCACAATTGGGGGTTAGCCTTGAGTGACCAGGCTGAAAGCTGGAAGGCTAGATGGTGTGGTCCTGGTGAGTTCCTTAAATAATGACACTGGAAGTGGGGGCAGAAGGAAGACAGTGTGTGAGAGGTTGTTAGAGGCTCTGGTCACCTCCTCAGAGGGCAAGAGGATTTCTTTATCCTGCAGGTTGAGAGGCAAAGCACGTTCTTCAAAGCAGTGTGAAAACCACTGGCTGTCCTCATCCATCATTGCTCATCCTTAACTGGTTGCAGACCAGAAAATGGAATCAACTAAAATCTCCTGAAACTCTCCTCTGCATTTTGCCTCTGTTCTTGTCCTTTTGAATTGATGTCCTGGACAAAAAGGATGACCTACCGCCAAAATTGGGCCTGAGAAATTTGTTATATCCTGCTGTGAGATTCTCAAAGCCAGGCAGGGAGAGCTTGTCACTTCTGCTGACCTCGATGTTGAACTGATTCCCCTGGATACACATCCTGGAAAAGAAAATGGGTATTGGTGCATGTGCTTATTTAGGTGTCAATAAGCATGTATACACATGAACTTTGCACGTATGTGTGTGTGTTGTGCCCATGTACCAGCAGTGACTTTTCTAGAGGGAAATCTCTAATTTTCAGCTGCTGAGTTAATATGTCCCTATCCCACTCCATTTTGTTACCCATTTGCCATACATCAGAATGTTGAGGTAATTTGGGAAACCCTTCAAGTGTCTTTAGAAAAAACACAAGGGGCTCATCCATCTATGACCATTTTGGAAGCTTGAGTTCTCCGGATAGAATATATGGCAGGAAGTTGTGCTGTCAGGGTGTATGAGGGAGGTGGATGGATAGGCTTTATCTCGCCATTGGCAAGTAGGAGGACCTGCCCCCTCTTCCTACTTCGTGCATATATGCAAAGCAATTCGGACCAAGGTCATTGTGAGGCAGCAAACTCACCTTGGAGTGAAGAGACTCAGACACATGAAGGTCAAGTGGAGACCGTATTTCATGTTGATGAGGTGCTCACGCAGAGAGGGACCAAAGTAGAAATCGCCTGGGGAAACAAGGTGGGAGAGGTGACCCAAAGGGCTCACCTCCTCCAAGCCCATCTCCATCCTGTGGGTCATCAGCCGCAGTACTTTCTCAGAATGTGTGGGGAGCAGTGTCTTTCCACACCATTTGGTTATAGCTCCTATTGCCTGCATGACTTCGTTTTGGAGGATCACATTTTGAATCCAACCCAAATAAAGGCTGACACCTTGTTTGGAGAGTGGCTCACCAGCACCAGCTGTGCAGCCCGTTCATGCTGGGCTGTGCATTTGGAAAGCCCCAAGACTGTCCTTTCCCTGTCCTCATCCTGACTTTGCCAGAGAGGACACCCCCAACTATGCACTCACACCGATAATGCCACTTATCCAAGGGTCTAGGCCTGTCATGACCTAAGTAGGTCATGTAGACAGGAAATGAAAACTTCCCAGTAATAAACAAACAAACTTCCTAAGAACCTTCCATGTGCCAAAGAATACATTAGATACTTTCTCACAGACCTCCTCACTCCATTGTCACCGTGCCTTTGTGAGGTGGGTGGGTTAATCCCGTATTGCGATGAGGAAACAGAGGCTCACAGAAAGGTCACTGTGCTAGTGAATATCAGAGGAAACTTTGAGCCCAGGGCTGGCAGCCTTGCACCCGTGATATTGGCTGTTCTCCCAGCCTCCCAGACCTGCTCCCTGGGTGCTCTGAAGCCGTTCAGCCGGTTGGGTGAGTGAGCGAGGCGTATGCGTGAGGATGGTCAGGGAGACATGGCCCAGGGGCCTGGTCTCCTCGGGCTCGGGAGCTCCTGTCAGATGGTCCTCCTGAGAGAGTAGCCGGCAGCCAGGCAGGTGAGCCTGTGACCTATCATGCTGGTGACAGCAGAGTGGGGGTTCTCGGGCGTGGCTCAGGCCCTGTGCCGAGGCAGGCAGTCTCAGGGTGGGTCAATCCTCCTCTGTGGCAACCTCTGTGAACCAGGCCACTTTCTTCTTCTTTTTTTTTAAAGATTTTATTTATTTTACAGAGAGAGACACAGCGAGAGAGGAAACACAAGCAGGGGGAGTGGGAGAGGGAGAAGCAGGCCTCCCGCTGAGCAGGGAGCCCGATGCAGGGCTCGATCCCAGGACCCTGGGATCACGACCTGAGCCGAAGGCAGACGCTTAACGACTGAGCCACCCAGGCGCCCCAAACCAGGCCACTTTCAAGAGTCTAGCTATTCTGGGGCTTAAGGTGCCATTTAGCCATTAATCAACTAATATTAATTTTGCTTAGAAAACAAATACATGCTCATTGTAGAAACGAAAGCAAGATAGAAATGTATAATTAAAAGTGTAAGTCCCAATGATGTGTCAATGTAGGTTCATCAATTTAACAAATGTACCACTCTGTGGGGGATGTGATAGTGGGGAAGGCTGTGCATGGGGTGGGGTGGGGAGACTCAATTTTGCTGTGAGCCCCAAAAATCCCTAAAAATATAAAGTGTAAAAAGAGCGCCTCTCCCTCACTTTTCTCTAGTCTGATGCCTCAATCAGTTGTCTCTTAACAGTTGGGTCTTCTATGCATATATTATTGTATATTTATATGCATGTATATCTGCATGAAGAAAAAAATTAAAAAGTGAAGTTGGGGTGATAGTAATGCATTTTTTGATATTTACTTTTTTGCTTAATAACGATAGCCAACATTTCTTAAATACTTAATGCATGCTTGCACTCTGCTGAGAACCTCAGAAACCCTTACAACAGCTCATTGAGGTAATTACTACCATTCTCCTCAACTTACAAATGGAAAAACTGAGGCTTCGAGAGGATAAGAAACAGTCCCAAGGTTGTAGAGCAGGTGAATCCAGGCAAGCTCACCCCATCACTTCTAACCCCTGCCCCATGACACACGCTCTTCTTCAATGCCAGGTTTTTAGTTCCTACGGATCTGTCTCATTCTTTCTAACGGCTCAAGGTATTTCATCAGATCAATATATACAACACACGTCCTGCGTATGGTACTAAGTTATTTCTACATTTTTTACTGTTACAAAATCAGTAATGACCATCTTTGCACATATGTAAGCTCCTGGAACTCTGCGCTCTGTCCTATTTCTCTTCCTTAGCCCTGTCCTTCTCATCTTTTGATAAGTCAACATTGTCAATCCGCCAGTGATCATATTCCAACCTTCTTCCCAGTTCATCTTCCCAGTCTCTGTCCATTCCCCTGTCCCCGGCATCAAGTTTAACAGGGTCCAGGGAGCGGCTCCCATGCCCTCCCATCCCTTCATTCAATTTTCCAAAGGCTTCACAAGCTCCTTCTGGGAATCAGACATGTATGAGGCAACACCAGAGCTCCCGTCTAGGGAGGGAGAGGAGTGTAAGCAGTGAAGTGACAGCATTCCCTGTGACTGTCCTACGACAGGGGCTGAGGCAAAGGGATACATGGTGGGCAAAGGAAGCAAGTGGTCAACTCCATGGGGGAAGGGTGGGACAGTGCCAGGATGGAAGTCATAGAGAAGTTCATTAGATTCTTGAAGACAGTGTTTGCATTTGCCAGGTGAACAAAGGAAGGTTGGGCCCTCAGGATGCTGGGCAAAGATAGGGAGACTTGCCCACCAACACTCTCCTACCTACTTATTCTCTGTCTCTCCCCTCTAGCCCATGGCCACCTGTGACTTCTTCCTAGTCTGTTCTGAATTAGCTTCATTCTCATTTTGGGATATTTCTACATTCTTCCTCCTCCTATAGGAAATTGAATTTTATCAGGCAAGTTGGAGAACAATCTAGCTTCAGCTCCAAGACTCCTATCAAATCACATTTCCCTGTGTTAGGGCCCTATTGAATCATGTTTCCCTGTGTTAGGGGCCTGGGCTTCTGAATCTGCTCCAAGGAATCTCGTGTCTGAAAAGCTTTGCCCACACCAGACCTGGAAAAATGACCGCACGTGGCCCTGCTCTCTCTGGTCAGGTTGTTGAGCATGTCTCATTTTAATAAGGAAGAAAAGAGAAGAAGAGGGAGCCCCCTGGGTGCCCCCTTGGTGCTGTGCTTTGTGCTTAATCGCATTTAATTCTCATGACCATTGGGCTCAGTAGGTGTGAATTTCTAGAATCTCAGATTGGTGAAGGGATTTGGCCACAGCCACAGAGCAATTAAGTGCCATGATTTGAATCCAGGTCTTCCAGGTCCCTGTTCTTTGCATTGCATCTAGGAAGAGGGCCCCAGCTCCCAAAGTGAATGGGATTCCACTTGACTCTGGTCCCTCTTACACCAAACCCACCTCTGGGATAGCGTGCTGCATCCATACTATGTCCCAAGTGGCAACTGCACTGAGGTCTTCACCCCGCACGGCAGAGAAACCAACCATCAAGTGATGACTTGTGTTATCTGCCTGCCTGAATGAAGGCTCCGGCCACCAATGCTGATACAGACACTGGGAATGGCATTTGGCAGAGACATGCACTGAGCCACCAGAGGGGAGTGCCCTGAGGGTTGCCCCACAGCTCTAGGGGACCTGGAGATTCCAGCTGCACCTAGCCCTTCCCACCTGCAGGAAACATGGCACTCAGAAGGTCTCGAGAGGCTCCTGAGTAGGGGCAGCCTAGGAACTCTTACCCTACTCTGAGGGGTTCTCTGCCAAGATCCCGCCTCTACCGGTAGAAAAGCATGAGGTTTGGGTTGACACATCTGAGTCAGGTAACCTTTCGGGTCTGGGCTTTCCTATCTGGAAATGGGAACAGAAAGCACTCAATAAATATTAATTTTCATTCTCCTCTCCCTCTGACGTCTTCTATGGGAACTTCAGTGATCCCACTCTGACCATGAGAGCCCAAAGCTCAAGCTCTTCCTATACCCCTACACGGCCACCCAGGGTAGGAACTGACTATATGTCCTTTTGAGGGAACTCATTTTGGCATCACCTCAGGAAGGACAGGGTCAAGGCACAGGACTTCAGGGTCACCCAGGTGGCAGATGGCAGCCTTTTCTGGATTGGCTCTGAGAAGCAGAGGTAATTCCAATATGCGCACATTTCCGCTCCCATTCCCAGAATCTCCTCACATAGACAGTGAACCCCAAGCATGTCATGCTCTAGCCTCCTTCCCACTCAGGCAGAGTTCCCCAGGCTTCTGTCACTTCCACATAGACAGAATCATTTGTTGGGAAGCAGGAGTGGAGCCCAAGTTAGGTCAAGGTGAGGAAAAGCATTATTGCCATGGGAACCTCCTTACGAAAATCACAGCAGGTGAAGTTGTGGGGTGTGGGGGCCCTGGTGGGCAGTGCAGAGAGGAAGGAGCACCTGCGGCTCTAGGTTAGACAGGAGGAGCTCTAATCTCGACTCTGCCTCTGATTCTGAAATAGCATTATTTCTCCCTGAGCTTTAGTTTCCTCCACTATAAAACGGGATGGTAATCAATAGTTCTTCAGACCGTGGTGAGACCTGGTACAAGGTAGGTGCTCAGCAAATTCTAGCCCCAGCCACCTCCCCTCACTCCCAGCAGGGTTTGTATCTGCATTTCCTTCCCTTTCTTCCCTCCAAGTACTGGAGGGGCCGGCAGTTTTCTTACCAGGATGCTGCCGACGCTCTGTTATGGCATGTCCTTCAGGCCTTCAGGCTGGGCATTTGGGCAGAACATGGTCTTCTGGGTCCCTGAGCATCTCCTCATCCTCAGTCCTGCCCCCCTGGATGCAGACACACGGCCACTCTCTGATGGAGTGGCTCTCCTCATGGGGAAGACAGAGCTGCAAAACCGGCTAGGCAGACGAGTAGGTAGAACCTCCCACAGCTCCACCCTTGGGTGGAGCTCTGACCTGGTCCTGGGTGTCTGTGGGAATCGCCCAGCTCCTGCTATGACTACTGGTTGCCAGGGCTTTGATTCTGAGTTGGTGTCTCACTGAACTCCTGGACCACAGCCAGAGAAGAATCTTGAGGTCAAAGACCCATGAAAGTCAAATACAGTGGGTGACTCCCCCGCCCCCTCCCACACCATGCCTGGAAGATGAGTCCAGGGCTCTGAATTTTGAGGACACCTCTATCCTGGTGTCATGGAACAGGACTTAGCAGCATGTAAGACCTTGGGCAAAGTCACTTTACCTCTCTAGTCTTCAGCTTCCCATCCTGAAGCTAGAACTTGACCATTTCTAAAATTCTGATTCCTTGGGCATTTTAAGAGCACCTTTGGAATCAACAGAAAGCCTAGTCAATGTAAAAGGAGACTTGTAGATCTGAGGCCATCATGCTTTCCAGACTGGGAAGTTTTCAAAAGAGATACAGGGGCCAAGGGAGTGGAGGCTGGAGGCTGAGGAGGCCAGCCCAGAAAGAAGTGGGAGGGACTTGGGGAAAAATCTGGCTAGATTTCTCGATCTCTTCTCCTTCACCATCCCCTGTCCCTCACACAGAGGGTTCTTTAACTCCCTGTGAAGTCCCTTTAGGGGCATCCGTCCTCCATAGCCAGTCGAACTTCCTAACAGAAGGGCTTCAACTGTGTGTGCAGACCCCTAAGTTCTCCCTGTCACCATAGCCAGTGGCCCCGAAACTCACTCCTGGCTCCAGCCCCACAGGAAGGCACAAGGAATTTCCTGGAGACTTGGCTTTGCACCCTGAGAGAGCCAGGAGCAGGGAGTCCGATGGAGGGGCCTAGGAGAGAGTGGAGGCTGTGGCAAGAAGCCCTTAGGAAACTCTGACCCTCCTGACGTCATGGCCAAGCCCCTGCCCAGACCCCCGCCAGTCTTGGAGGGGAGAAGGTGGTGAGACAGGGGAGAGGTAGGACAGAGAGCGAATGAAGCTGCAAGGAACAAAAGGAGGTAGGATGGAGCGGGTGGGCGTCGGCGTGTGGAGTCCCACAGAAGCCTCAGGCTTAGTGTGCCCCAGAGCCTGGCCCGCCTTGCAAGCATTTCTGTGCACCTGAAGAGAAAGCTCTTTGATTTCTCCTGAGAGGCCTCCTCACTTTCACCTGGGAACCTTGAAGGCGGCTGAAACAGGAATGGCTGAGGAGTTGGTTTCAGGTTCTCAAAGAATGGAAACCGCTTTGTGGCTTTTCTCAGAGTTTCCAAGATGTGTTCACAGAATACAAAGGCTCAAAAGTAACAAAGACAATACAGAGCTGGGGGTAGGGGGGTGGGCGTGGGGTGTCCTCTGACGCAGGCACAGCGAGACTTAGATGAAAGAACACGGGCCTGCTGGGTGGCTTTTGGCAAGTTACTTTAACCTCTTTGGACTTGTTTCCTTTTCTGACAAATGGAGGGAATGATTTCTCGTAGGGTTGCTGAAGAATTCAGCAATGACAGGCATGCGGGCGTATCTGAAACTACCTGGCACATTGTAAGTGCTCACTAAGTTGTTCTTTTTATCCTGATGTTAGTATCTTCTCATGTTTGTACTTCTCTGCCAATCCTCCATCTGTCTAAGTATATCTATCATTGATTTATCATATTTATCATCTCTATCTTTAAAGTGAGGAGTTTCTATGGAAGCCAAGTCCTGCTCCAGTGGTCCTGGCCTTGCTCCTTGGCTCTAGAACCCCTGACAGTCTCTGCACCAAGCTTCCAAGTGTGACCTCTACTCTCAGGACGCCTGAGGTCAGTGGTATTTCAGGATGTTCAGCTATGCAGACATACTGCCCATGGGTTACTCATCCTGGTGTCCACCTCCTACACCACATGGCTACACACCATCCTAGAATGTGTCCCAGAAAAACAAAGGCCGGAGTGAGGGACTACGCCTTGCCTGGTGCATCGATCACCATGCACACGAGATACTAATAAATCATAATAACGCCATACGTGTATATGGTGCTCTACAGTTTTCAGAGCCTTTCCATTTGCCTGTGTCTTGTCTTATTTGAGCTGCACTATAATCCTGGGAAGCAAGCAGGGTTTGTTTCTTTATTCTCATTTTCCAGATGAGAAAGCTGTGCCCAGAGTCACACAGCTACCATGTATGGACTGGAACCCAGGTCTTAGGATTTTGAGTTAGCTGCTTACCTCACAGGTCCATTCAGTGATTTGGGGTGGGGGTGGGGCAGAACAGAGGAACAGAGTCCAAGTGAAGCAGGGGACAGAGCCAGCCTCTGGATCTTCCTCTGGCCTGGGAGGCCAAGGTGGGACGAGACTACCTTGCACCTGGGCTTCCCAGGAGACGCTGCCCATCAGACTTGATAGCCCCCCAACCTGCCGTCCCCGCTGGAAACTCTAGACCACCTGGATTTCCTTATTCCCTGCCCCCATCAACACCTGACTGATCCCCATCCCAGACACCTTCTCATTTGTCTCCTCTGCATCTCCTCACCTTGTAGACTTGGGTCTCCAAAACAAGGCCTGCAAACACCAGGCCGTGTGCAAGATGAGGCCACTGAAGTATGGGGAGAAAATATTAGAATTTCTAGGGCTTCAAACATGGGAAAGATAACTGTATCTTCTAGTATTTACTATGGGATGGGCACTGACCACTCACTCCTCTGTCAGTCAGACCATCTGAGGTCACATACCAAGGTCACATACCGAATAGCCCGGCCACACTGGTCTGAGACGAAGCAGGGGCTCTAAACTTGGAGGGCTTGGCACTCACTCCTTTGCTTTCCGTGTAACTTGACTTTCTGCAGGGCAGGTGGGCCAGGTTAAATGGATTTATTATTTGATTTCACTAAATAAACCCTGAAGAAACGGACGCATGGCTTAAAAATGAGTCCCGTCACAAGAAACTACTTCCAGCATTAATAAGGCAAAGGCCAGCAGCACTTGGCCTACCTAATGCCCAACATCATTAAACATCTTCCAAATGAAGAGTTTGAGTGGCTTTCAAACCTTCTGGTGAAAACTAGAAAAAACACAATTGATACGTCTGCAAGAACAATTGATGGACATCAGAGAAGATGGAAATTTACCAGCTGAATTTAAACAAAAGCCTTCGTGTAACTGGTGAGAAAGACTGAAACATTAATATTTTAGTAAGCGCAGCCAATGAAGCACTTTTTTCATTCGGATGTCTGCACCTTAACTGAGGTATCTTTTTTCAGCTCTGAAAGCTGTTAAGAATCAACTATCAAAATAATTTGCACTTAAAACCAGATCTTCTAAATATTGAACTGCAAAATGTTAATATGCAGATAGCACACACGTAATAAAGCATATCAACCACATTGCACTCACTAAAAACGTTAGCATTCACAATAATTCAGTGAAAAGGTGTTTTTGTATGATTAACAAAATAAAATCATTAAAAGTAGTGTTATTTTATCCTCATTTCATCCATTTAAATTCTTCTTTCTGTCTAGGTCTTAACTGTGGTATTGTGATTTATAATATGAAATCTGTAGTTGGCCTTTGTCCTTATGACTGGCACAGAGCTGAAACCCTGGGGATCTTCCAGGTGAGGAGCTTGAGATAATATCTTTTGTTATGTTAATGAAGCAACTTTTGGAATGCCCCGGGTCACCTAAGGATGGGGGCTAGTGGCCAAAGGAGACCACCAGGTGATTGGAACTTTCAGTCCCACCCGCTATTTCTAGGGAGGACAGAGGGGCTGGAGGTTGAATCAACCTCGGAGGGCTAATGACTCAATCAGTCGCATTTAAGTAAGGAAGCCTCCATAAAATCCTAAAAGGACGGGGTTCGGAGAACCTCTGCGTTGGTGAATACGTACGTGGGGCTGGCAGGAGAGAGGCGGGCATGGAGAGGGCGAGGCAGCTCTGCGCCCTTCCCCATCCCTTGCCCTGTGCCTCTCTTCTATCTGCCTGTTCCTGAGCTCTATCCCTTATAACAGACCGGGCATCGAGTAAGTAAAATATTTCTGAGCTCTGTGAGCTGTTCTAGCAAATTAATCAAACCCCAGGAGGGGGTCTTTGGAACCTCTGATCTACAGCCAGTTGGTCAGAAGCACAGGTGTCAAGCTGCACTTGTGATCGGCATCTGAATTGGGGGCGGGGGCAGTCTGGTGGGACTGAGCCCTTAACCTGTGGGACCTGATGCTCTCTCCGAGTAGATAGTGTCAGAATTGAGTTGAATTATATGACACCCAGCTGGTGTTGGAAGATTGCTTGCTGGTGTGGGGAAAAAACCCACACGTCGGAGTTGGGTTCAGAGTCATTACTTACACCCACACTGTATTAGAACATGAGACATGTCTGTGATTTCTAAGTACATAAATACATGTATTTTGAGGGTGTAGAGTCAAGGAAGTATGGGAACAGTTGGGCCAGGCCAGTGAGAAAGATCCTGGCTATTCTTTCAGTTTGCAATTATATTTTGTCTACCACATATCACCAGGCTGATCTTCATAAAAACCCAGAGGGGATCCAATTCCTACTCTGATTTCTGCTCTCTTTCAAACCCCTTCTCCCAGAAAGAGCGGCAGCCCTAACTGCCTTTTGGGGCTGGGCAGCTGACAGTGATGTAAGAAGAGGGTTGGATGTAAGGCATGGTGGGGACCATGGCAAGCAGGAGAGTTCTGTGCCTAAAAACATTCCAATTTAAAAATCGTAAACCCCGGACAGGCAAGAGAAAACCCTGTCGTGGCCTGGATGGAACTTGTGGGCTGGCATTTGTAATCCCTGAGCAGGTCAAGGCCAACCTTGGAATATGCTGTCCACCTCTCCAGACAGGTCTCTTGCTGTTTGCTCCCAAATGGATTCTACACTGTGGTCATTGCTAATTGGTGCTGATCTTGGCCCTCTACCAGTCCCTCTTCCTGGCCAAGTAAGCCCCAGCTGAACAAGCCTGG